CCAGACTACACAGCGCAACAACCCAGAAGACAGAAATCTTCATACTGACCGCTGTAAAAACCTCAAATCGTGATATGTTTCCTCGTGGTTAGACAGAGGACTGCAAATGTGGGTTCTGAGTTATCGGTCGTCTTTCGGTTCCAGGTACTATAGTATCTCTTAGGAGAGAAATGGGGCCGCGGAAGCACGTGATAGCGGATGTAACAATGTGGTCCTAAGTTCAGGGCTCCTGACCGAAGAGTGCGATGGTGTGAGGAATATTCTGTTTTGACTTACCCGAAATTAAGAAACGTTGATCAATAGGGATTTAATTGCATACAACGTGTGACAAGTGACAGTAGTTGTGAATTTGTGATGTAGTTGGCAACACTGGCCAAAATGAGGCGTGTTGGGTAGGGTGACTAATGAATAAGCAATTTTATGACGAAACGTCTTTCGGATTCTGTTTCTTTTATGTTTGATATAAATATTTTATGGGGCGATGTTCTGCTTGCTTTGTCAAAAAATTAGCAGAAAGAAATTTGCTCAGACTTTCCGATATTATTTTGTTAACAATCTAACTTTATGAAAATCTAGTGGTTTAATAACAGGAATCTTAAAACCTTTCTTACCGTGAAATTTTATGACGAAACGTCTTTCGGATTCTGTTTCTTTTATGTTTGATATAAATATTTTATGGGGCGATGTTCTGCTTGCTTTGTCAAAAAATTAGCAGAAAGAAATTTGCTCAGACTTTCCGATATTATTTTGTTAACAATCTAACTTTATGAAAATCTAGTGGTTTAATAACAGGAATCTTAAAACCTTTCTTACCGTGAAGTGTTTAATATTTATCTAAAATATATAGAATCATGCATACAAACAAAACTGTTTACACGTTGGAAAACACGTTTCGGATTCAAGAGGTTATTATCAGTGACGAAACATTAATTCATTAGTCTGTATATGAAATCATACAATTCATAAGACGGTGGTTTATTATAAATCACTGAGCATAAAAAGGTCGCACTTTATAAAACTGTACTTCATGTAATACCACACTGAACGTTTAATTGCATTAATCTTCTGAGAATATCAATCTTTTGGCGGAACAAATAAATTTTACATCTCACCAGCAATTGCATTAAAGGTCCTTTTTCACTAAGAGAAAATAACGTCTTTTGGCGGAACAAATAAATTTTACATTTCACCAGCAATTGCATTAAAGGTACTTTTTCACTAAGAGAAAATAACGCTGTGGCATTGCTTGATCTGGCGCCTTATGGCTTCATTTCCAAGAAATTAAAATTCTCCATAAAATACCGATTTCTAAACACTGGCAGACATACGGAACAATGGGACGACATTACATAAATAACTTAATGAAAATTGTTTTTATGAAAGCTTGCGCGTCTGACAGAGAAGTAGGAACGCAAATAATTGGAAAATGAGTGCATTACTTACAGTAGGTGGCAGCGTTTTTTCTCTCATAGAATTAATCCGGTTGTTTATTTGCTACATCTTATGTTACGCGTTTTTCACTGAACTGTAACGTGTTTGCTCTTACCATCTGTTTTATAACATTATTCAGCATACTTGTCTCTTATTGAGGTTAGATTAGGTCAGAGAATGATTATCATCTTAAGGATGTGTGATACGTCACAATAAGGATTCTCAATACATTGTGAACACATTGAAAAGACGAACTGCAGCCAGGTAAAAAGCTGTATGCATAGTTATCAGCAGTAACTTAGTAACTGGTTATTTAAACACTTACGTGTTGGTCACAATGTATCATGTAGATTCAACGATCCCACAGGTTAGAATACTTGTTTGGGCAAGTCTGTGTGTGATATAAAACCACGTGTCCCAGATTATGTGGGTGAAATGCGTGATCGATTTCGTATTTCTTGCTCGTCACACTTATTTCTGGGTATTCTTCGTACAAGAATTAAATAGACTTAATTAATTACTTTAAAACAATTGGCTGGAAGGGCTGTCCAATGTAGACCTACTCCCTGCCAGTCATCTTACTTTCTTAGAACTATTTTGTATTGGTTTTACAAGTCTAAAACAGAATTGAATGTGAGTAAAATTAGTCACATAATGGTTTGTGTGTACGTGAAAAAGTTGACAATAACAACAATTATTGGCTCTGTTAATGAATGATTTTCTTCGGGTGGAAATTTTCTTCTAAGAACTGTGGGTTAAATCTACTAGTCCGCTGTTTCAGAAGGTATTCAGAAGGTAATAGGAAGAACCCACTTACCGATCTTGTATTCAGATATAAATGTATCCACACTAGTCAGCAAAATATTACAAAAACTAAGATGCTGGAAATCGTGTACAACATCAATTAAATAGATATGAGATTCTCTCGGAGGTGAAAACGTCTCCTGGGTTGTAGCGTCGTTAGTTGGGTGGACGTTTACCGACGTTTGAGAGGTAAATGCTGCCTCCGTAATCAGGGCGATAAATGGTATACTTCTACCAGACTATACGGCGAAACAGGCCTAAAGACAGACATCAACATAAACTTAATTTATTATAATATTTTATCATTATTCTTAATCAAGTGCTAGTAGAGTTCTTGGTTTAGAAAATTCGAAAATACAGAATGCTAATGTGTAGAAAGATGGAACATTAGCCAAAAATTTTCAACTGCAAGACAAATAATTCTGAAAGAGAGTGAAAAATAACATGTTACTGCAATCTGTCTGAACTGAGTAAAATTAATCTGACGTCGACAACTTTTATTGCATCACTATGACAGCACAAATTACACTGTGTCAATGGATGTAATGTTCATTTAAGCGACATCAATTAAACTTTATAGAACTACGCCTATTCAATAATCATTGTTTGAAATATACGTTCATCCGGATACAAGCGTTCGTTCCGTATTCTTTATTTTTCGTACTTTTAAATCAAAACACACGCAAAATATTACGTGTTGGATATAATCGTGTTGGGCGTGCTCTAGTAAGAGTTTTAACGTCACCAGCTGATCGAGCTATTATCTTCCTGAGTTCTCATTGTCTATTGTTCTTAGGCAGTGGGTGGATACGCTGTAACCCATATTTCAGACCTGTGCAAGAAAATGGAAATTGATGATCTGTCCCTGTAAGTACATAATAAAGACGGTGCCTTATGTAGCTATAGTAAGACACCTGTTACTCCTGACAGGCATTGCAACACAGCGCTATTATACTTTGGTGTGCTTAGAGACATATGTGGTCTCTGGATTCCAAGAGTACTTGCCAACTGCCTGTGACTGTCCTTACTGCTATTTTCCCACAACTTCAGTGTGACTCTGTATGAGTAATCAGCCATGAAGACAATAGCAATACTTCCGCTTTGCAGTCGGAAAAACCAGTTTTCGGTCCCCAAATAGGTCACTTAAATTAACGCTATAATACAGTGTCATGTCAACAGCGAACTGTCTGCAACAGAGAATTGAATAACCAACATTAGGTGACAATTTTTTGTTTTGTTGTTATTTTATATATTCGAACACCGGTTTTCTTTATATAATTTACACTTTGATGAATTGTATTCATTTCCCGATGTTTAGTAAGCTATTTCCAACGAGCAGGTTCGCATAACGTTTATGCTGTAGAGTTTTATAGGATTTGAAACTTTCGCGGCGAGTACAGTCAATAAAATCTTCTAATGTGACTGAATCCTTCCGAGACACATCATAACCCTGAAGATGGGGACAGAGTTTGTTCCCGAAACGTCGGTTTACTACGGTAACCAGTTAACGCGGCTGATTGCCCGAGAAGATTTTATTGACTGTAGAGTTTTATTCACTGTTACAATGTCCAAAATTGTCACCGACTTGTTTCACGGTATTACTCGGTATTTCCTGTAAATACTTGGA